AAAAAAAAAAAAAAACGCCTGCCCTGCATGGATAACGAGGAATTATTCATGTTCAGAGTCTACATATATTTCCCCACTGAGAGCCCCATTCTCCTTTCCTTTCACCTTGACCTGTATCTACCTGCCTAGCAGACACAACAACTTCTGTATAGTCTGACTGGAGACCAGAGGCCTGCCATAGGCTGCTGCCACTGCTGTGGTTCCTTTACAGATGATTTTCAGCCTCAAAAATAAGCCTTTAAATCAATTTTTGGTCTAATTCAGTTCTGAATGATAAACCCACAGAATATTTGTCAATTTGAATCAAGTGACTTATCCTAGTATTGGCTGAAACATTGGACAGGACTTTCTTTTTATAAAACAGGTGACACTTCTGATTTACATTAGGTCAAAGTAGACTAAAATTTTGGTTTTGAAGCTTAGACCTCTTTGCAGGCAAGCCCCTTAAAAATCCAATGGGACTCTTAACCTCTAATCAAACTCAGATCTAAGCCATTTTCTTGTTGTTTTTCAACTTGCATCACTTTCCAAAACATATCTCTAAAAACGAGATCATCGACTTCAAGCCCACTCCCCTTTCCCATTCAATCCACTTAGTTGCACACCCATCCCAAAGTTCTTTTTGCTGAACATTAACTCGGGAACATCAGGCAGACTACATCAGTTAAGGAAAAGGAAGGGGAAGTGGTATTCAAAATCACCAGCTTCCAAAAAGTATCCCTTAAATAGTTATTGTTTGTTTGTTGTTAAAAACACACCAATGAACATCATGCACATTGCTTTTAGTGAATACAATAGGTGTGCTGGACCTTCGTGCAGACACATCACCTAATGTTACGTAGTTGATGCATAGATTATGTCACCTGATGACGTAACTGTCTGAATCAGCTGTAAGTGTTAATACAAAATCATTTCTTTCCCACCTTCCATAAATTATTGGAAGCTTGTACTTACATCTGTATCCAGTTTTGCATTAACTAGTAACCCAATATATGCAGAGATACCCATCTTCATTGGCAGTTATAGTATTGTTGATCACATCTTTTCTCTATTTATCTAACCAGCATGTCTCTCAAAACGAATTGCCAAAAGACTTTGTTTTAAACATTTTAGAAAGTATTAAAAAATATATGGGGCACATCTGTTTTGGACTCCCTGTACCCCATATCCTGGGGAAACCCTTGCTTGATTTATCTTAAACTGAAGAACACCAAATTCTTACAATTTCACAGCAGCTCCATTCAGCTTCAGACATTTGCCATACAAAAAGTCCCCCCATCCCCATGTACATCCTCCTAACTCCAAACTTCTCTACACATGTATTATGCAGAACATAAACAATGGAGGGTTCCAGCTATAACAAATCTAGGCCAGTAGTATAATGCCTGCCAGCTGGAAAGCTGGTCAACAACCAAACCTAGTTATATCAGATTTTTTTGATGACAACAAGTTCCTCATCAATCTGCTCTCTTTATTCTATTCCATTTAATTTATTCTCCCTCAATTTTATTACTTCAACTCGACCCAAACTCATCTACTTTCTGCTTTATAGCCTGTTTTACCAACTCAGACACCAGTTTAGCTTATGGCATTCATGGTTTGTTCTAAGTGCAAATAGTTAACTTATTTTTTCACTCTACATACTTTGTCCCAGCTCAAACAAACAAAAAAAAAAAACAAAAAAAAAATAAATTTCAATAATAAATGATTTACCCATATAGTATATCTTACACTGTATATATATATATATAAAATAAACTGAAGATAAATGACCTTGTATTTTTATCATTTGTTAAAGAAAAGAAACTTTACCACAGCCATTGTGTTCTTCAGGCAAAAAATAATAATAATAATAATAATAATAATAATAATAATAATAATAATAATGATAATAATAATGGATAAATCTTTTGTTATTAAAAATTCATAACACATCAACTGTGTTGATACTGTATTAACCTTTGTACATGTTCCAAAGATTTTGCTAAGGACTTTGCAAGGACTTTATTATAACAATATGCAAACTGTTTTGTTCTCTAAGCATATAATGTTATAATGCAATAACTTTATACCATACACATATCCGCTCTGTTGAATCGTCTCTTTTGGGCATGTGGGTCCCATTGATAATTTTTGGTTTAAAAACAACATACATTTTTTTTTTCACATAAAGAAATGTAGTTTTTTATCATAATCAAGTTGGGCTATTTCCTAACCAAAAAATGTAATGAAATTTTCTTCTATCTTTTATGCCATTTTCACTACACTAATTTGTGGTGCCTCCAGCTTAGTTGTCAATGTGGCCATCATCTTCCAGCGCACATTCTAACCAGCAGCTTTTTAAAAAAAACTCTACACTAGCGGTTACATATAAACCGCAAACACTCCAATTACTTAATGAACAAATGAAATATGTTCAGGGCTGCTCTTTTGGTTTGTCATGTTTTCACTCAGTATCCTTGCACCATTTATCTATTTTTTTCTGTGTGTGTGTGTGTGTGTGTGTGTGTGTAGGGGGGGGAGGGGGGGAGGGGGGGGCATCTGCAACCTCTCAGCCTTTTTCCTTCACTTAATTACAACTGCTACCTACCAATACACCATTTTTTACAGATTTGGTGTTCATAAACTTACTGTACATAATACTTTTTCTAATGTACTGCAAAAATCTATCTAATATCCTATCAAATAATTTATTTAATCAGTGCAGCTGCTAATAAAAAAAGAGAAACTGTATAAATGAAGAATGAAAAAAGTCCCTCTACAAACCTTACAAAAGATTTAATTAAATACCAGACTGTCTGCTGCCTGCTATGTCAGCAAGGTATAAATAGACCAGTGATGTAATCACTTACAGAAGGAAATGATCATCGAAGACACATTGAAAGCATTCGCATATAACTACCCTGTTTATTCAAACCAGCAGCAATCTTACTTCAGCCATCTTTAAATAGAATGCAGACAAAAAATAAACTGGTTTTGCATAAACAAGACGAAAACTGCCTGGTTCATGAGACTGCCTGAAAATTTCAACATCAATTTGGGCCCAAATCGGAAAAACTTTAAACAGTAAAAGACTGATGTTTTAAAGGAGTAACAGCTGCACTTCACACCAAGGGGATTATAAAATGCAACAATAAAAACCAGATCTTTTTGGATATCATATTTTGACTTAAAGTAAAATATCTGACGATATGCCATTGATGAAATGCATATATAGCTCTGATATAGGTCTTTTTATGTTCTGTTTTTTACAAACCAAAATATGATCTACCAGACAATACTTGAGCGCAAGTTTTGTTATGTAACTATATCTTGCGAGTTGGTCTTGGCAAAATAACAAAAATAAAACACCTTTCTCTAAAATCATCCCCTTTTTATATTGCTATGACCAATAAGATCTTGCACTCAAGTTAGTATGATATCCTGTCTTCTCCATTCACTTCCTTGATAAATCTTACTTACATTAAGCATTTTGAGATTTTATGTACTGCATTTAAAACTTAGTGTATGTATACTCTAAAAAAAAATCTAGTATATAAACCACAGTACAAATATTGTAAAAAAAATTCAAATAACAAATGTGCAAAGGGATAGCATAACTAGACCACATTCAGATTCACACATTGTACTAGCTCAGTCAGTCCAACTCCGTGGGAGATTCTCTCTAAAAAGCAATCAGTGGAATCAACTCAATTGTCTGACATGTCTTTTTGAGCAGCTAGGGGGTAATTAACAACTGTGTGTTGACTAAGCTGGTTCCACTGATTGCGCTTTCAGAACAATCCCCAGCAGAGTTGGACCCACCCAGCTAGTGTGAATCCCAATGAACCCCTAGACAGCCAAAAAAATACAAGCAACTTTTTGGACCACTTTCAAGAAAACATGTTAACATATCCACCATTTTTGTAAGTTTGAATAAAACCATACATATTGAATTGAATTCCATGCTTAAACACGTGGGGCGAGTCTTGGGTGCTGTAAGGAATATTAAACATTTGCTTTTAAATAGACAAACAACGCTATAGATCAACTGTCTGAAAAACCAGACTCATATCTTAGCTAAACCACATGCACAAAACGGCAGTATAAATTAACCTCTACGTTAAATGTGCAGACAGCTTTTACTCCTCATCGCTCACAGTAATTTCCAAGTAGGACAAAATGACCGAATGGACCCAGGCTTAATAATGCATGGACTAAAGATACAGTGGTCAACTCGAGGTGGGTCATCCTGACACGATTTATCCGAAAGGTATTCAGTCCGACTGACCTAAATCGATCAATAAATATGGGAATCCCGGCCTCACATTATAATCAGTGCACGCAGACGGCACACGATCGGATAATTTTAAAAAAAATCGAAACTTTACTTACTTCCTGCAATGACTGTATGGCAAAAAAGCACTCCTGGAAGAAAAAAATACAGCAAAAAATTAGACGAGAGATATAACCTGCCGGAAGTTTCTTAGTTAAGAGTTAGACCACCGGAAGCTTTGCATTGAAACCACAAAGATTGGTTATTTTAATGGCTTGCGGTAAACTCACCAATGCAGATAAAGCAATAATATAGCATCTCTCTGAACGATGTCGTCCTCCCGGTGTTCTAGAGCGATGCCGACGAGTGCTGTATATCGTAGATTCCTCATAAATGCTTCATGAGCGCTTGCACCACAAAGTTCATGTTGAAGACCATGTTCATCCTATGTTAGCACCAGACATACCGCTTCGTTCAACTGCGCACCTGTCTGCGCAGGACTCCGGACCACACCGAAGAAAAACGAGAACAGCCGGGAACAAAAAATATAGTCCATACAAATAAATATTGGAAAAGAGAAAACTCGGTCTTGTAACTAAACTTATAAAAGCCTTTAAAATCGCAAATGCAATTATAAATGAGACAGATCTGGAAATTACTTTATTCAAAGGCAACGCGGATTAATCAAAGAATTTTGGCGTCCTCGTTTCTAAGGCGTGCTTGGGTTGTTGACAACGCGCACCTGCATGGCGGAACTGTGCTGAGTCTCAGCTCGAAGTCACTCACAATTTTAGAATGGCTGCAGCCGCGCAATCCCAAGGGAAACAGGTGGCAGGCTGTAACTATGTCGCTCTGGACGAAATCTGGTGAGATTATTGTAAAAGTGAATTATTTTTCGAAGGCGGGGTACAAACATTTCGCATTGTTTTTGTCTGGTTGATTGACGACTCTGTCACTCTGTCAACGTCATCGCCACTGCAACGTAATCATGTTTGAGTAATTTCTCACTAACTGGTGTTGTAATTATTTGATTTGACATTTATACCAATGACTTCCATTAATCATCTTTCCCTGGAAATACGTGTGTCATTAGCGCTTGTCTAGTTTGCTTCCGTAATTGACTGGGGTATATAAATTCACGTTTTTACTTCCATCACATTAGACCTTCTTTGTGGGAACAAACACTAGTTTAGAATGTTTTGATGCCATCAAATTATTTATGTATATATTTTTCTTGTTGGAAAACAAAAATGTTCATTTACGTTCTTACTATTTATTTAGTGTTTATTATTAATATTTTCATAATTAACACACATTTTACATTCCACATAAAGATATTTAATTTGTAAAAATAAATAAATAAATAGAACATTTCACAAAAAGGAATTGCACTCACTCCAAAATTATATTTAAATGGTATTTAACTACTTCAGAGACCATTTAAACAGTACATACAGGCTGACCTTATTTTTTAGTCAGATTTAATAACAAGACAACAAGATTGAAAAATAAGATATACATTCTGTGCTGTCCTACCAGTATCCATGCAGTACCATATTCCTGCCTTTGTTCAAAACTTCTTGCCCATTTCCATCACTAGTATTTTTCAAGGTTTTCCTTAGGCATTTACTGAACACTTGGCATGACAAAAAATCATGACTTCTGAAACTGTAATTTATCACAGCCTAAAGAGCCCAGCACTTTTAAAGTAGTTATAATTGTTAATCTTGTGGTATTGTTTGTGATTTATGCTCTGTATTATAAATACCACAAAATAAAAAAGGTTAAATTGATGCCCACCACAAACAGAGCATGTAGAGTTACCAAACTATGTCTGAAACCACTACCAATTATGTTTTTGTAAGTGTATATGTTATAAAAAATAGACTTGAATTGAGCAGTTTTTGGTTGTATGTGTACTGTTACTTTGATCAAGAAATAAGAAATTCAAGGCATGTGCAAATTAAAATAAAATTCAGTTGTGCCTATTATTAATGATTTTGCCACTCATTAAAAATTGCAGATATATTTTAAAAATTTTGTATGGGATAATATAATTCCTAGTCATCTCTATCCATTTTTTATATCTCTATTAAAAAATTTGAGATGTTTTTTTCTGCATTATATTATTATTAATAATAAGAGTTGTGTTATGACAATCAGTTATTATAAAATCATGGACTTTTTTATAAAAATTATATTTTATGGCTTCAATATTTTTTTCAGTAGCAGAATATCAAAAATATCCCTGTGAAACTATTTCATTTATTGCAAAACAAGTTTGCATTTTCCTGGTCCTCTAACACTAGTTTTCTTTCCTTATCTAACTCTCTCCTTATCCTAATAAAACAAAATGCATTTGCTTTTTTTTTCCTCAACTCCTAGGATATTATTTGAACCAGTGTTTGGTATATACTACATAAGTATGACATTACAAGAGCAATGCCATATATCTTGAGCAAGGTGGCCACCCATAGTAAAAAAAACAGAAGCACTTGATAGTGCATGCACAGAGCCTCAAAAGCCACAAATGTCATGAAATTACAGTTGAGTTCACCTTTTAGGTGCAATAAAACATTTGGGCTATCATTTTGGTGATGTCACATGTTAAGCGTGCTTGTAATTTCATTTTGTTATGGAAAATTGGGTATCTTTAAAATTACATAAACCTACTTTTCTTGTCATGCATGGAAAAAATGTGTTGATATTTGGAATGCTTTCTCTAATGGATGCTTCATTTTAATAGAAGCAGAAGATGTACATGTACAGTGCTGGTAACGTTTAAATATATTTTTCTATTTTTATTTAAGTAGACATATTTTTTCTGATAATCTTGAAAATTAATATTGCAGATAGAAGTAACAATTTTCCTTTCAATCCTGGATATCAGAGCCTGGTGGGTGGTACATGATGGTGAAACTTTACCCTTAATTTAGCTAATCTTTTTGTCCCAGCAAGGCAAAAAAAGGTTCTTAAATTAGCATTAAAATGTCATTTCCTAATTGTTTTACTACTTAATACAGCAACTTTTGAAAGAGCCTGTATTTTTCCTCCAAAGTTAAAAATAAATCAATTTAAAACTTATTAGCTTAAATTATTTTTTACTATGAAGGATATACCAAAATACAGCTGTGGGCACATATAATTATGATTAACAATTAAACACTTATTACAGAGCTTGAATATTAACATGTTGCCAATGGATTAATGAAAGCTTCTTGCATTTAAAGTTCATGTTTCCTCAATTAGACACAAGACCATGAAATCTCAAAAACATTGCATTAAGTTGGTGATTATCTGGGAAGAACCCTGATCAAGCTTTGCACAATTTTCACAAACGATCACAGTTTTTTTCTCTGAAGAAGTTAAACTTCTTATCATTCTTTTTACATTGCACCAAATTGTTGGGGCCTGGAGCATTGGTTAGACTTAAGGGGATATGCACCTTCATTTTATATCCCTCATGAGTTCTGTCTGACTGTGGATTATAACAGATCATTTTAAATATTAATGTCTAACCTTGAAAAGTGTCAAAATAACAACTAACCTGGATATCTGGTAATTTGTGATAATGGATCGGCTTATTGCTAAAATTTTGCCAGTTTTTCTGTGTATGTCAATATGCATGTAAATACAGATTGTGGCATTTACATTATGAATAATTTGTTTTTAAGATGTCTGTTTTTATAGGGTTTTGATGCCCAACACCCCCAACCCTCCCCCCCCCCCAAAAAAAAAAATAAAAAAAAAAATAAATAAATAAATAAATAAATAAATAAAGATAATAATAATAATAATGATAACTAGAAAAGCACTCTGAGAGCGCAGACCTCCGCCCAGGCAGCGATTTTTGATTATTATTGATTGATTATTGATCCGGATCACCAACAAAAACAAATCACTTCTAAGTTAACCCATTTTCCACCTTCCCTGAAAATTTCATCAAAATCAGTCCATAACTTTTTGAGTTAAGTTGATGACAGACAGACAGGGGTGAAAACATAACCTCCTTGGCGGAGGTAATAACAGAAAATACAATGAACAAATATTTTTGGGATTCTCTATTACTGGTGAAGCATTATTTAATTTGATTAAACAATCAAAGATATGCAGCTGTAAATGTACACATTTAATACATTTTTCATGTGGTTTAAGTTGGATAAACAGTTATCTGTACATGCCTTCATTACTTTGAAAATTTCCAATTAAAATACAGTTTTTGAGCAGAAGCATTTATTTCATTATTCCAAAGGATGCTATGTGTTAAATATTTTACCACAAGTATCATATATAAATTGTATTGCAATCTCTTTATAATCAAGCCCTGCTAAGACTTATTTAAAATATATGGAAATTAATCACTAAAAAAAATTTAAATCAATTAATTGTAGTTCACAAAACATTGTTTTATTGGCAATGTATGAAAATAATGCTATTTCTCTTCATGTGAAATATATATATTTTTTTGTGATTTCAAGCAAAAATGGTAAAACTAAGAGTCTCAGGTTCCAAATTAAATTTGTGAAGTGTTAAAATTTTGACTTATTAGTAGTATTTACTAGTACTGTGATGAGTTTATGGAAATAGCACATTACTACTGGTGATCTATATAGAACACATTAGTTTTGGTATTCTATGTAGAACATATTCATTAGACCCTATCCTGGGGAAGCGCTAGCAATTTTTTTTCGCTTGGCCAAATCATCACTCTTTTGTCAATTTGTTATCCAAATGGTGTTAATTTGACTAAAATGAGTCAAATCAAGCCCTTTTTATTTAGCCAATTTAAGTCGGTTTTAGCATTCTAAAATTAAACTTATGCTTCATTCAACAGAACCAAAATGTTCTCACATGTTGATTAATTTCTGAGTACCAACAAACCTAGATAACAGTTATTATTATTATTATTATTATTATTATTATTATTATTATTATTATTTATTGCTCTTGAGAAGAAAAAATATATAAAATCATGTGCCGCTTTTTGATTTTTTTTTTTTTATAAATGTATATATATTTTTTTCAATTTGATTGTAGAATACAATTTTCACCCTTGATCTTGACTTGCACCTCTTCCAAAAGCCCAGCAAATTAATGAGACAGTTGCCCTTGGGTATAACAACACCATCTGTACATGTTATTTCCTGAGATTTGTTTTAATGTGTGTCTTAGCCATGGGTTTAAGATAATACCTCCCTTGTTTTATTTTTTTATCATGCACACTATAAACGAAAGTATATGCACAAGGTACCATGTGAAAGGAAATTGAAATTTTTAACCATGCTTTACTTTCTCTTTTGCTTAAATGTGTTACTGTTATACTGTAGAAGGCATGTAGCATATTAATAAAGATATGTGTATTTTTAGCATAGAGCCTGAAGATCCCTTAAAATTGCCCTCTTAAATGGGCAAATGAAATGCTGTTTCCAGTAGCAATGTCATGGTGTCAAATTTAAAAAAAAATAATATAAAAAAATGTCTGTTAGTATCCGTTATATTTCAAAGCTTTATGATGATAAATTGATATTTTAGGAAGGACCACATTCATTTGGAAGTGTCAGCCTCTAAACAGTGGCCAGAGAGTTGGGGATTCCTCAGCCAAAGATATGAGGATGTAAGTGAATTGACTGAAATGTTGATCAGAAAAGAGTGAAAGAATTAATAAAATAAAATAAGGCAGGAAAGAAAAAAAGAAGGATAAATGGACAGAAAAATGGAAATGCAAATGAATCTGAGAGTGAAGTAATAGAGTAAGAAAGAAAAAAAAAGAATAAACGAATGAATGACTGAATGAATGGACCAGGAAGGCAATAGCTATAAAATTTCACTTCTCATTTTAATCAAAGCTGCCTTTTGACAGTTTAGATTTTTTTTTCAAATTATGCATGTGCATTACCAGATGGAGTAACCATGTTTCATTTAGAACTAGTCTTAAAAAGGTAAATTTCAGATGATTTAAAGATCTAGAAGAGTGGACAACTTCAAGATTAAGTCATAGATTTTTATTCTAAAACAGGCTGATTTTTTAGAATATTTTCCCAAACTACAGTAAGTCTTACAGTGTATTTATGATATTTAATCATATTTATTTCCTATCAGAAATTCAAATGGTGAAAATCATGAAAAAGGTTGAGCTGTGCAAATTTTTCGTTCTTTGGGGCATGCATATGAATTTTTTTTGTTATTCTTATTAATAGCTGGTGCAGGGTGAAGTGACGAAAAAAACGCGAACAGAACGCCACGTTCCAACACCACTTAGACTTCCTCCTATTACACCAATAGAAAAAATCATCAATGTCAAACCATCTCCAAAGCCCTTCCCAATGACGACAGCACGCACCATAGGCTGGCGCTCCTCCCGGCCAGAGTATGCGTTGGAGAGGTACGGGAGATATGCCAATCCTAAGGGAGGACTAATAAAACAGCTGAACTGGCCACTAGATGGCATTGATTAACATCAAACAGGACATTCCATCTCCCATGCATTCTTGGCGTATATGTGTGTAAATATAACATACAAACTCAGTTTAATTTGGTCAATTTTTTGTTAAGTATTGTAAGTGAGACGCAACACTCAAATCATCCACACGGCATTAGGTGCTGCCCATCATTATTGCTTTCCCCGTATAAATAAAGTCTGGACATTTAATAATAGACTGAAGATTTAATCTTTAGGTCAGACAAGTTCAGCAACTTTGTTAGGGCTGCTGTATATATAGTGGGGGAGTTCCTTCTTATTTTACCAGGTTAAGTAAATGTATGATGATCATAAAAAATTGCATGTAACAAGGCATTAGAGATGTGTTTTTGGTACTCTTATCATGATCAAAAATTGCGTAATATGTGTCACGTGATGTAGTTAATGTCAATTAAGTAGATGAATTGATGCACATCATCACAAAATTCAATGATAAAAGTCATCAACAAAAACTTTCCAGCAACTCATTAAAACCTAACATCAGCAGAAGTTAATTAAAGTAATTACCAATGAGTCAGTACGTAGTGATTAAGTCATTTTCTCAAAATAGCGATATATAAATAAATAAAGATACAAAGAAAAGAGGATAATTGTCCCACCTGGAGTCAATTCAGTACCAATTTTCTCAGTTCTTTTGGGTTTATTTGTGATTATCTAAGGTCGTGGTATCAAAATTATCATCATTTATTATTTGCCGTTCGAGGCTTCTCATATTATTAGAATGTAAACTTGTGTAATCGATACCCTCAGACTCAGACAAAAAAAATCTTGGAAAATCATGCATACACAGTGACATTGGGTACAAAAATGTTTGCAAATTTTCTTCGGTAAAGTAATGTTAAACAAACAATAGATATTTGTCAGTCTTATATAACTTTAAGGAATAAAGGATTACCCCTCACTAAATACCTCAGCTCAAAATATTATCTTATGTGCATTATTCAATGACATAATATGTTGACGTAAGTGGTTGCCACCACATTTTCATATTCATAATGCATTAGAAACAAAATGCCTTGACAACCAAGCATCAATTTTCCACGTTTAACTGAGCTTGTATTTTATATTACATGTAAAGTCAACTGCATACTTTGACTATTTGCTCACGATTCTCTCTGGGATTCTTTGTGATAGACGTGCTCACAAATGGCTTAAGTTTTGGAAAAAAAACCTGTTTTCTTACATTTTCATCTTCATGTCTAGGGCATCCATTATTGTGTTTCTAGGTGCGACAGAATTAAGTACAGATGACTAGAAAAGAATTTGCGTCACTAAATAATTGCATAATATTGCATCTGCGTTTAAAACTGGAGAAACTTAAATTGTAACAAAATTCAAAACAGTTGACAGAAAAGTAGTAAAGCCAGGGCCTTTTAGCCCAAGTTGGTTTAAATCTCTTGATTTGAACCACATTTCATTAATACATGATTTCTTTTAGTACCAGTTTGTGTATGTATTCATATAGGTTAAACTGAAGAACTTCATAAATACTCTGAAAAATAAGTTGTCATCTTGTATCATTTGTGTCATGTACCAGTTAGTGACAGTTACCTTTTGGACAGATCATTTCCTAATGGAACTGGTGTGCATAATTTGGCAAAAAAGGCATTTTTAATGCAAATTTTCCACCTGTCAGCAATGATACAAATCTTCTCAAGATGTTGTTCTTTTTTTCATTATTTATTTATCAAGACAATCTTAGAATCATCATTATGACAGCTTTCATGTTTTGGAATTGTAAATTGTCTGACAGAGGACTCTTGCCAAGTCTGAAAGACAACATTCTTAAGTGGACTATTTCTTCATGTGATCACTTACAGCAATAAATATTTAAAGTTTTTTTCTTTGTGTTGTTATCAGATGTCTCTTAGGCTTACATGAATATAAATTACATTTACCAAATTTAAATGGTTGTAATTTATGTTGGCTAGAGTGAATTTTAAAAATATTATTTTAAACCTATTTGTTATTGTTAATGTGAAAGGATGGATTTTTATAATGCTCTTTTAAAGTGAGTGCTATTGATAAAAAGCTTGCTAAAAATGCGCACAAACATTTTTTATCCAAATCTATCACTTCTTCTCTGTAAGTTTGAAAGATTAGATACAAATAATTTTTTTAAAAAAGTTAACTAACAATCAATAAATCAGATTTCAAGTGCATGTAACATTTCATTTGTTAAATGTCTACTTGATTAAAATTTTAACCAAAAGTACTAAAATTTTACATTTGCAGATTATCTGTCAAACAGACCTAAAGGGGTTGCTTTTAGTAGTATGTTGGCAATTTAGTTTTATGGTTTGAAAGACTGCTAACAAATATCTGGCCTGGAGGTGTTCAAACAAAATTACTGCTGACAATTTTTATGTTACTGCAAGTGTACCTCTTACATAAGAGACTGCAGTCTAACATGGAAATGTGAAATTCAAACTTTATTTTGTGTGCCTGTTATAGTACATAACACAAAATATGATATGGAATTGAAAAAGGTTTTTGTACATGTAATACTGTGTTGTTGAGATACTAGCCGGCAGTAGGGTGTTTGCCTCTTGCATAATGTTCTCACGTTCCATATTTCTCTTATTTTCTCTTTCAATATTTTCATACAACGAATAGATAAAACACGCATGTCCTCATGTTTCATTTGTCATTCTTTCTCCTGCAACATCTTTGTACAGTGAAATAGGCATTTTATCGTACCTTGTGGCATGATGATAAAAAATTGTAAATTGTTTCTAACATTACAACAGGCCTGCTGCAAATTTGCTGCAAACTGCAATTCTTTCTTATAAATTTATAGCAAATTTGCTGCAAATAAGCAGCAATAAAATTTTTCTTGCAAACTCCTGCTAACTTATTGCCTCAAACTTTTCATTCTTCTAAGACAGTATATTTTTCAACTATGTCCTCTAGGGCTCACATTGACAGGTCAGTCATGTGATCAAGGCCCTTTGATGATGCAGGGTCAAAATGTTTGGGCTCGTAGGTTAAAAAAGGTTAATTGGAATGGAATTCCATCAGCTGTGCTATGTTATAAGAATAAAGTGGAATTTTTTCTTCAAGTTTTATCGTATAGCTTTATTGAAATTGTCTGTCTAGAGCATCTTCAATATAAGGTGTTGATTGAAAGAAGAATTCAATTACACTCTTTTCATGTTTTATCTCTTTAAAAATATTATATTTTCTTTACCAATATTTTTTGCAAGGTTTGATAGTTTTTAAAATAATATAGTGGAATCGGATGTTGCTACTACCCATCATCCCCGTGGATTTTTCTCTATATATTGTGGAATACAATGTAGTTGCTGACTACCTCCTACAGTACAGTATTAAGTTTGCTGCTTGCTCTCAAGCATTCAATATTAAATTTTGGCATAATTTAATGGTATAATGTCCAGACATCTGAAGAAAACACTATACCATCCCTTAAAAAAAAAAAAAACGATTACGTGAAGTCCACAGCACACTGCCAAGCAATTGAATGTAGGACTTTTATGCATGGCCTGCCAACAAGTGGTTGATATAGTGACAGAATTCAATCAAAATTCAATTATCAGCATGGACATTTAATTTTCAGGAGTAACATTTAGAAACCATGCACATAGCCTTTGATTATTTTTAACAAGAGAATGCATTAATCAAGGACCATCTTAGGTATAAAAGGACTGAAAAGAGTTAAGAAGAAGACAGGGTGATGAGCATAAAATGTGTCAAAGAGGACATAATTAGTGTTCTGAAACTCGAGGAGATTTGGCTTAAGGAGGTGCATGGTCTAAAAGCTCTCAAGCTGCATTCACAACAGAAGTAGATCTGCACACTAACAGATCCGTGGACCAAGTATGGCCAACCCACTTGAATGCTTGTCACGTAGTCCCTTAGGGAGTTGATTAGGGGTTATGCAACAAGCTTTCAAGTGGGTCAGCCATATTTTTGATATGTAGATCTGTTATCAGTAGTCTGCAGACCAACTGATTGTGAAAACAGCCTTATAGGTAGTCTAGCTAAGAGCTCTTACAGCCAGGGTGACAAGATTTGCGAGCATTCACATCGAGAGAGCCGAGGTCTAGCAAGGCCGAGACCTAAATATGGCGGATCTACATGAAAGGAAGATCGCGTAATCCTTTAATGGTCTCTCAATGACATTCATTGAGAGACTATTCACTGAGAGACTATTAAAGGATTACGCGGTCTTCCTTTCATGTAGGTCTGCCATATTTAGGACTCAGCCTTGCTAGACCTCGCTCTTCTCGATGTTAATGCTCTCTCAGGCAGTCTTTAAATAGTCATCATTAAGGGTAAGAATAGTCAGCTGTGTTGAAGAGGGGCACTGTCAGCAACTTGGGGGTGACAATAGGGATCCCAGATTTTAGTGAGGGTGGAATATATTTTTTAAACATTTCTCCATTCTGCAAATATAAAACAGCAGGCCAGGGTAGTTTTGAATTAATTGCTTTGTTTTGTCTCTTTTTGAATGTTTTACTTTTTTTTCTTTTTTGAGGGGGAAGGGGGAAGATGAAGGAGCTATCTCAGAAGATGGGGGGTGGGGGGACACTGCACCCTTTCCACGATTCATCACTGGATAAAATCTGACAGTATCCTAATAAGCATTCAGAAAATCGGGGTGTCCATGATCTCCTTTTGTATGATTTCTTTTTTTCAAACTGTGTAAGCCTTCATTTTTTCATCACTGTCAAGTATTATCATAAAGAAACACTTTGCCATGTACCAGGATAAAACCTTAAATGTAATGAAAAGTGAACAAACAACATTGTTATGTCATTTCCTTGCAAATTAACGATAATTTGCGTGCTGACGTCTAATTTTGTGTTTTTTTATGTCTGTTAGGAAGGCGTACCTCCATCCTGTAAGTCTTCACAGGAAAACATAATTACGCAGTCTGATATTGAGGCAGTAATTTTCAAAATGCCATTTTTTTCTTCTGCTAGGTTTTGTAAGTGCTACTAAACCTTTGCCTGCAGCATAAGGAGAGTCTTTATCGTGTTCAACCAGTTAACTCACTGTCAAGAAAGCCCTTTATTTTTTAAGTCTGTGTTATTGGCACAAGATACAAAACATGATGGATAGAAGTTTTTGTAACTGTCTTGATGACTGGTATGGAAAAATAGACATAATCTATGTTTTACAGTATGTTATTGTTAAGGTATTTGTAATGCAAAATCTCCACCCTTCTCAAACTTCGTGATTGTACAAAAAAAAAAAAGGGCCTGTCAACCAAAAAGTTACACTACTGAAGTCGATTGTGCACTTATACCAAGGTGACATTTACTCATGGCATGGTTAAAATGAGGATGTGGAACACATGGTAATTTGTTGACCACTTTTATTTGTTTTGGGAGGTTGACAACTTAACAGCCAGGACCCAGATTCATCAACACTGGATACTGGATAACGCTATTCACTGTATAAAATATTTATCCACTGGACAGTTATCCTGTGGGTAAAATAATGTCTCCCAGACATTAGATTTTTTTATTTTTGTCCCTGATTTTGCTCTCTGGTGGTTAAAATGGCTGTTATACTCAGGATAAATGTCCAGAGGATAATTTTAACCAAGGGATAGTGTTATCCATAGGATGTTGATGAAACTGAGCCTTTGCTTTACATGGCCCTGTGGATTAGCTATACCTCCTTAGGAGCAGAGAATAAACTTTGTGGATAGCTAGTGAAAGAGTGTAAAGTCCTCAGTTGGGTAATTACATAGTAGACTCTCTCAAAGCATACTAGTACAGCTGCATCGCTAGTATATAACGTGAAAAGGCCTCCATCAAGAGTGTATAAATTGCAGGATTATTTGTTGACCAATTTTGATGGCATAAGATCATTTGAAAACAGCATTACTTTTGTCTATCTGATACTTATGACTTTCTTTCATATCTATAATTTGGGGTTATATGAACTGTAACTTCAAAGAATGTTTTCGAAATGGAAATATTGGTTTTCACATTTTTCTTGAAAGTATTACACCTGAAGCACAGGAGTCAGTGACCACATTGTGTGTGAATGTGGAGTTTGAAATGCCTGTGTTTGCTCCCCTTTGAGAGTCTCATGTTCCAGAACCTGTGCCTTCCACTGATCCCAACAGCTCCAGGCTTGATTATTTTGGAGTTATCTGATATTTTGCGATTGATCAGGTCATCCACCATGTTATTGGCTTCACCTCTCTTTACCTTTCATCTAAAAAGGGACATAAAAGTTGCTACTAAATATAAGAATTTTGTTCATATTTCATCAATAAATCAACACAGTCACACACGTGTGCAGACACACAATTTTGTAATATCATTTTCATTATTAATATTTAATAATTCCTTTAGCAACACATTTCCATGAGAATGGGTCAGTAAGTATGGTAAAAGCATGGCCAAGTTTGCTTCCACCTAGAACTGTTGTATTTTCTCCAAGGTCATATGTCTTATGTAATCTACATAGCCTTGTAAACATTCCCATTAAAGAAAAAAGGCAGATCTACAATAATCCATTGTTTATAAAAAAGAGAGAAAAATGACATTTTCTGTGTGAATTTTTTTCTCTAAAAAGACTAATTTTATTGACAAATGACCAACATATGCTAATATTGAAGTATGCCTATATGCTCTAGTCAAAAGACAAAAGTTCTAAGAAACAAAGTAAAAAAAAAGACTTCTCATTTTTTACCACAAAATGCCAACGACTCCATTAACATGCATTTAGTTCCATGTAGGCAGTACATTGGGTCAATTCTATCCATGGAGTAAATCGATCTGCTGCTCCCTCAATTTGTAGCAGACAGTCATCTCAGGTGAAGCAGCGTCTGGGTCAAATCAATTCACAGGAGCTGAGTTTACACTTATAAACTGGTGTGACTTCAGTGCGATCCAGGATTACAGTATGTCATTTGATCAAATTGGATGAAAAGAAATACTTAAAGACACCATGAGGACGGATTTTACAATCAAACAAAACCTTTCTGTTTCAAAATTAGCTGTAATTTGATTTCAATTATTTGCGAACCTGGATTGTCAAAGTTACAGCAAGGTTTCAATTAAATGTAAAGAAAGCTTTGTCGATAATTGCTGCAAACAAAGAATGTCTGGAGAAATAGGCTGATTTGTCTACTGACAACCATGGCAGTCATGAATCCAGGGGTCACAGAATTTCAGGGACCAGTAGCTTTCCATGCCCTGCTGTAACTGACAGTTTCAGTAAGACATGTCCTTTAGACTGCACATTTATTCATTCACTGTCAACTTCTTCAGGAATGGTAAATTTGTGATATCATGTTGACTTGAAATTTTGGCAGTAAATTAAAAAATTCTCTCAAAAAATATCACTATCAAATCTAAAATGTTTCAGAAGGAATGTGCCTGTTTTGACACTTGAGTATGAGATGGGAAATAAAGAGTTGAAATAAGGCATACAAACGTGTGTCAGACATTCATGTAGCAAATAATTAATTTTCCTGGAATTTTCATCTCTCTTCCCGTTAAGGTTATTCAAAGGTTATTCATGAACATTGACAAAATTGTGATCAATTTTGTGTTTCCAATTTTTGTGTCAGTCCTCTAATGTAAACTGAGATGGGTGAATTATTGCAACATCAGTAAAATGCATGTTATTACCAATGTTTTACCTAGCAATAAGGAAAAAATTCAGGGAGAAAGAAGTCTACACAAAGTCCCATTAAGGGTGAACCCCTTAATCACATGAATTGAATGACTGCCTAGTTTTGTCACCAAGCCAATAAAATTACCAGTACAGGCCAGTTTTTAATTGAGTTATAATTCAGAATGGACCTGAAATGTCTTAAGCACATTTTAATATTCAAAATACCAAGACAGGTAACTTAGTACAAGTTGCGCATTCAACATATGAATTTTAAAGCTGCCTGAACACAGATCAGTTCAAGCATGGTGCAGATGGTGGAGTCACTGACAGCAGTGTAAACTTGGCAATGTCAAGCAAGTTTTCCCCTATGAGCTGCATTTGGTAATTGAAATAGACATCTGTTTTGGAAGTTTTACATAACTTTTTGTATATTTTTCCATTCATGAACTTTTAAAGCCTAACCACAAGAGGCAGGAATGCTGTGTTTCTTTTTGATGTGGAAAAAAAACGCTATTATTGATAATTTGATAAGCACTAATTGATATGTTTTCATATTCTGTTGGGGTTTCAAGACTGCAGTGTACAGCAAAATAATCACATAGAAAGCACAGTAGTTTGTATTACAATGAGATTCTATGACAAGTAAGAAAAAATACCCCCCCCCCCCCCCCTCCAACACATATTCAAATTTTCATTAGAATTTGAGCAAGAGATACATTTCAGAAACTTTAGTCACATATTATAATAATGGACAGACGTAATTTCTTCCACATCTTATCACAAATGAATGCACAACTTCAAAAATTAGGAATGGTGAGCTTCAGGGAAAAGCAAATTTGAAAAGGTGAATCTAAGCAATCCTGTTTTGTAGCAGAAATGTGGAGAGAGTTCATTTTAGTTTTACCTTAGTTGAACCACTGAAAATGTCAAACTGACCTAGGATCTACATACAAGCACTGATTAAATTGTCAGTCTCCCCTTACATGACACTAGATAAAGTGCTTCTCAATTTAGGATTTCCTTTTCTCCAATTTAATGGATAAATTTATTTCTTCCAAATCAGCAACTGGGTTTCATTTTTCTAATTTTATTTTCTCTCCTGAAATTACTTTTTTCAAATCTCCCTACCTAACTCTGTCACCACTTCCTATCACAAAAAATAAAAAGAAATTCATTATTAGCTGTACATTTTGTAGACAAGGTTTTTTCAAATACCTGACGATCGATTAAAATAACTGACACATTTTTTTGCATGACTATATTTATTATAAGTAATCCGACCTGTACTTTTCTTGGAAGTTGAACTGTATGTTATGTTCCAAGTAGTCAATTAAAACCTACCCTTAGTGGGATTGTTTAACATGTGCTAGCTATAGACTATATAATTATATATATGTAGGTTTTAATGTTTTAGCATGCACTATTCAAACACAGTTATCTCTGCATAGCTCATCATCTTGTGGCCTGAATTATAACTAAGGATAGATAAAACTGATAAATTAAGGTGGTCGATGTGCTGCAACTCTCTGTAAACAGGGTCTGTTGACAAAATTCACTTTAGTTTTTAACATTATATTTGATGTCAAATGGGCATAACATCTAAATCATGTGAATGTTAGTAAAATCTTACAGGAAAAGCAGGGACCAGGGTCAAGTTTCTTAGTGACAATCGTTGCTAGCCTCTAAATCAGTGACATAGTCACAAATTGAGAAGGGTTTGAGAAAGGTAATACCCATCAATGGCTACTTTTGCATGAAATTGGTATTAGCTATGGATCCAAGAAACTAAGCCCTGTGCTAAAACACATGAATACTTCACAACTATACAGTGATTGTAGCTACTGAAGTTTTCATTATCATCATAACGTGCATAAACTTTGTTTTATGAAAAATCACATCAAGTAAACTCCCTTGGGAAAATTTTACATTATATGTAAATGCAGCAAACTCTAGAAGCTTGACAAAGCTGTAAAACACAACAACCATTCAAAAATATATTCACTTTTATTTTCAATCAGCAAATATGTTATTTGATATCAGAATACAACCATGACCTGTATTTTCAAAGCTGGCATCAAATTGTCCTTTACACCAACAAAGAGATAATAATAATAATAATAATAATAATAATAATAATAATAATAATAATACATATTTATAAAACTAAATATTTAATATATGTAATATAAATATGAATTTGATTTCTGATGCGAACAAGCTGATACTATAAGCAGCAGCAGTGCATAAAATACAAGATAGGAATATGAAGTCCAACAGTAAATGCATTTAATTTATAATATCCAGTGAAAACCTGAATATACCACAAGAATTAAGTTCAGAAGGCAGAGTGGTACATAACATATATAGGACGCTCTCTGTTATAGTTGTATTAAAGTGAAAATAGTACTAGCAATTTTTCATAACATGAGAGGGATATCCGTCTCATTCAGTCCAGATTATTTAGCACCACAGTGTGTATGGGCCAGACAGTCTGTTCATAAATACTATTATGATAGTACAATACAATATACCACTGTTATTATAGATTTCTACACAATAAAGAAAGGAGTTTCAATAAGCTGACATACATGCAATAATTCCTCAATTAAATGATGTGTGTGTGTGTGTGTGTGTGTGTGTGTGTCTGCATACATGCAAGCACGTGTCCAGCTGCCCGATTAATGCTTTAAAAAAAAGCAAAGCCGGTTACCACAAAAAGAAAATCAAATTATTCAATTTTAAACTCAAGACAAAGGTTTCGCCCATCCTTCATAATAAAGTTTTCACATCAATAATTATAAAACAAACACTGGTTTATCACTCCATGAGAATATACAATTATAAACTGGTCTCATTTTAAGTGCCAATGCTTAAGCTACTACCTTCAAAAATTAACGTGTGCTGATAAGTGTATATGTTCATACGAACTAAGTTCAATAACCTAACTGCACTACTACATAATTCGTCCTTCAATTCAGACGATGACAGTTCCGAAGGTCATCAAACCTAGGAAATGAGTGGAAATAGAGAAAAAACCCGACCTCCAGACAGATGAAACATTTCAGATGATTCACAACGCACAAATCTTGTTCCACAAATTGATGGCAGATCATCCAGGAGGAAAAAACTTAAGTGCTGCCCAAATCGTGCAGAGTCTGTTTCTGCCGTGCAGTAGATTATTAACCCCCATAAATCAAACTTCTGAATTAGTTTCATGACAACAGACCAGGTACCAAGCACACACAAATGATCATAACTTGCATTCCTAATCTCATTGTTCAATAAGAAGCAAATCTGATCATTTCTGAGTGGATGCAAGTGTGCGCGACTGCACCGATCAGTCTCCAGCCAAGCTGAAGGCCACTTTAGTAGCAAATTTTGCAAGGAGGGAGGAGGAGGGGGGGGGGGTGAATGGGCTGCTGCTGTGCAGGTGAAAGTCTGACAACTGTGACGCTTTGGTGCATTAGTACTGGTTATGATTATTGCAACAAGGTGAAGGCCAATTAAGCCAATTTTGTCTCCAGCAGCTGGTGATCTTCCACAGGTCTCCATAATATATTAACACCACTGAACAAAACAGGACATCCTTGGCAATAATTCCACATCATTTACAGCACACAATATCTCACACGCAATCAATTTTACTTGAATATTTAATAAAAGTGTCTGGAAGGTGCATTATCAGAACATGCTTAATGAAGAACAGGATGAGCTGCTGTTAGCTCTCATTAACAAGATTAAAAAAACAGGTAGCAAGCCAGACTTCCTGTGCATTCAGACATAATGATATCTTAACCGGATTTAGATCCAAAACGTAGGAGCTGTCCAAATTATTTTTTATCTTTGAATTTGGCGATTAAGAACACCTCCCCAAAGAACTGTATGCAAGGGGAAGAGGATCTTATAAACTTGTGGTGGGTTACATATTACTAAATAATTGGTTATTTCTGAAGACTGAATCTAAACCTAGTGATCTGCTTTCATCAACTTGCATAAAATGATATCTACCCAAAAACATAGTAATGAAAACACATATCTTACATATCCAAGATAAAAACCAAGGGAAAGAAAAAATGAAAGTTTTTTGAGAAAATAGTCTTATAAGACTGATCTGCAAAACAAATTTTTCGGGGTTCCTATGATTCAGAGCTGGTTTCCATTACGAGCTGGTTTCCATTACGTGCTGGTTTCATATAACTTTAAGTTGGTCTAAAATTTTAGACCAGAATTTTGGTTTACATTAATTCAGGATAAAGTTGAATCACTCCACTTAAATAGATTTATTGTAGAAAAAAGTATTAAATCAATTTGTTTCTTTTATAAAACAGGCACAGTTCTTCAGAATCGGTGATATTAAATTTAATTTCTCTCCACAGTATATCAGAGTTTATTTGTCAAACCAGACAATTTCTCTTTAAAATATTGTTTTCATTTTGCCAAATGTCAAGTAAGGATACTTAAATAACAAGGAAACCATTCAAACATGTGTTCTTTCAAGATGTCTGTTAGCTAATCTGTTTCTTTCCGACATCCTGCTACTTACGTAATAATTCTTAATCAGGAAATTGATTTTTTAAATGACAAAATGGAAAGACATAAGTATGACTAACCAGTGAATTTAACCATCATTACCAGTAAACAAGGGGAAGGGTAAAACATGGTACTCACCCAATAATATAGTTCTTTAGTAAATTGTTATATTTTAACAGACATGTTTTGATAATGCTACCCCCTAATCTGCAAAATTTAAACTTATTATTTTTCAGTTGAAAAAAAAATTAATGAAGGAGTCCATACTTTAGTGTTTCACTTGGAACATCTTGTCAAACTTACTGTGGCTTCAATTTGTTTTAAACTTAAGGTGGAATTTGCTTGAAATCTTTAGGAAGCCAATCAAATTCAAGGCAATTTCTGGCAGCTGAAACCATGCCAACAAAGCAAAATGAAAGTGGCAACAGTTAACAGACAGTAAAATAGATGGTGCTGCTGCTATAACCAAGAAAAGCTGGTGGCCTACTTCAAATTCAAACATATTTTCCCCAGTCACTGTGAGCTTGATCAGGGTGCACTTGCACAGTTCTATGCAGGGGAAAATCACTCTGTTCAGATTCTAGACTGTCCACTATGGTCTTACAGAGAATGACCATAGTCTAGTTTAAATACCTCCCTTGCATGGCTAAGACACTCTCCATGACTGTGCTGGGCAAGATTATATTGAATTTCATCCCTTGACCAGCTCTCTTCTTTCCACTGCCTTGAGGTCCACTCTTTACTTTCTGTGGTCACACACACTCTCCATACACCTGAAGACTAAGGCTGTGACCAGTGTCCACTCTCAATACAACCAATGATTTGTATGAGCCAGGCGATGTTGGCCTGAATTCCACAGGTAAACTGATGTAATGGCGGCTCCTAAAATGATCAAATAGTACCTTTATGTTTAAATATTGTAAAATAAATAAAAAATAGAATGCAGTAGGTCATTTGCAGCTGGATGCCTCCATCTTGACTTGCTTTGTTTACAGTGAAGCTTGCTATCCAGCATGGCGATGTCAAAGGATACTGAGTAAAGTAACACCACCTGACTAGATACCGCGTGACATCACCAAGTTGGAAAGCAAACTTCAGAAAACAAAGCAAGTCAACATCAGGGATGGATGGAGACCATCTGCTGGGTCTTTTAGAAGACAGTCAGAGTTTTTCCCATTTACATTGATGGGCATCTAATTTCTTTCTGTTGGAAGATGGTCAAAAATGGAAGATGGGTCAACAAATATAATTTGGAAGACTGTCAGAAAATATCTCTGGATCCTTTGAACATGGCAGCACCTAGCTGTAAAAAAGGCCTACAAAACAGACTGCTGGGGTGGGTGGTACCCAAGTGAGGTTGACCTAACATTGCTTGAAACACGGCTTTTAGGTATGTTCAGACATGGACTTCAACCTGTCTAGTATTTGGTGCGAAATGCAGATGACCAAATAAACGGCAAGTCTAAGTTAATCCAAGTAGAATGAAAATACTGTTAACGAGTAGCAGACCTGGTAACAGTGGTAACAGTGGTGACTTGTACTTACTTGGCTTTTAAATTATGATGCTTCACATGGAATGGAGGCTGAGGGGGTATAACCTCTACCTGAAAATAGTCAACAACAATCAATTAATTTCAATGTCATCACTACAACAACAAATAGTAATCAGTGATTGAAAACTTAAAGCGAGATTTGTATATAGACCAATTTTTGTATTTTGCACTATGAGGCGAGGGTTTAGCCAGAGTTTTGTAATAAGGAGTCCAAATTAATTATTTTCCTACTACTAAGACAGGTTTTCTAGGAATCATTTGCTCCAATAATATAAACCTGATTATATGAATGTCCAAAATTGAAATAGGCAGCCCAAAAGACAACTGGGGGGGGTTACCCTGCTATGTGGCAAAATCTTCACTATGAGCAATTCTATTTGTCACGAGTAGTATTATTGCTTCATGTAGCCCAGTCAAGGCAAATGAAACTTATCAAAATAAAAAAATAAGTGAACCAGATCCTAGACAATTTAAACTGCTTCAAAAGACTCTTTATGACATTGCTCAATGTAAGACCATTAACAAGGGCATTCACAGAGTCATAAAAACAAAGTAATCATTTCTTTAAAAATCGCCCGCATCAACTGCTGCTCTTATTAAGAAACAGTAAGCTTATGTACTCCTTAACCCAGAATCAAATGACAAACTCAGAGATATCTGGTCCTGAATTAATCACTACCCTTATAATCAGACATCTACAGACAAATTTGATGCCGACTCTCTGGGATATCAATTTATATAAACACAAACAAATAAAAAGGCTTCATCACTGGAGCTACCCAACAGTGAAATGCAGGCATCGTAAATTTTATCAAAGAGACAGAGGGGAAAAAAGTGAGTCATTTTCAAGGTGCTTAAAACTGTTTTATGCAGCCTCATCAAAAACTGTTGAAAGGAGTTTTATTGCTACCTATATATTTGACAAACTTTTGTCATAAAACTGGCATTAAATGTAATGAAAAGTTGTTTGAAATCAAGAGCACCCATTTCCCTTTATGCACCATACATCAGCTGTTGTATTTCAAAACCATCTGCATCACAGCAACTGACCATGAGGTACTAGTAAGGCTTTTGCCATTTTTTTTCTTTCAGGTATTCATGCAAACTTCTTGGCAACAAAATTTGTGCATCCATTTCATTTTTATGAGCATGGACGAGGATATAAACCACACCTGCTTAAGATTAAAATGACATCATCAGACAACCAAATAATTTCATGAGTAAATTCAAGGGAATGAACTCCCAGTGGATGATCACTTTAAACCTCTATATGCTCAGCTGCATCCATTCAACCAGATTTTTTCAAAAATAATTATTAACATCTTAACTAGCATTGCATCTCAAACAGGGTCAGCCTATTTTGTAATACCCTATCTGGGAAGGCCAATTAATAATAATTCATCAGGAAAAGCTTCGTGTGAGTATAATTTGTATTTAGTGATCTGGGACCCCAATACAATAAATTATTACCAAAGGAAGCTAATCTAATCTCTCTGTTAACCCATCCACCATCTCATCTCTAAGCATAGCTGAGGCCAGTAGAATGAGATCAGTTTGACTTCACAGGGTAACCAGACATATATTGGGCAGTTTAACATTATGTTGGCTGCGAGTGGAACAAAAGACAATATGGAAGGTAGAGAGTGAGATTGGTGTTACTAGAAACAGTTATGTAAGGAGTTTAGCAATCTGGTTGCCTGATGATGACTTTAACACCCAAACCATCACTGGCTTATCTGTGTGAAATACCAGCTAACTTTAATTATGTTTGTCAGGGTAACTTTAGTGATGAGGTACCCTGTTATACTAAGACTAATACTTTAGAGCAATATCTATATCAATAACCTTGTTAACATATTGATCTAAAGCAGGGCTGAGTCATTTTTGGCTCCCAAACAGTCAGAAAGTCTGCCGATAGTCGGAAATATCTCATTACTGTTGTAAACACCAACATTTCCCAAAAGTTGGAAATTTGCTGATAGTAGACAGAGTTAGCAATTAGGCTACTTTTTCTCCTTCATTTATTTCTCTTTGTATTTTCAATGTTCTTACTGTGTGGTTGGAGGTGGTACCATTCTTCACCCGAGCTTTCTGTATGGCACAGCTGCCGGCGGTGGTTGCTGGGAAGGTCAGGTGATCAGACTTCAGCGTTAGAGTGGCCACTGCCTCCTCTGGCGGGCAAGGAAGGGTGGAGTCCTCTACGGTCCTCCTTATCAAAACATAATGAATAAATATGACAATCCTGAACTGATATAAAAGTAATTTATTTTCTAATTAATCAACGTTTCACAGAATCCAAGAAATAAGCTGTTATTTCTAAAGACTAAAGTCATTTAAATAGCAACTGGCCATTACCTAAGAACAAATATTTTCAATTCACCACTTTTATCTACATATCAAAAATAAATATAATAAATAAATAATGATGTACTGCTCTGAACATGCCTGTCACATCAGAAAAAAATTTGGCCAATATGAAGTTACACTGGGTGGATCATGGATTACCTACATGGAAATTGGTTTATCACTGTTGTTCACCAATGGACGGTTTTCTTTCTCTTCTGATCCTGCAGAGGAGGCTGGAGTGCCCTGGAATTAAAATTACCACATAAAAATACCCCCATCTGATTCTTTGCAATTTGTGGGCAAAAGTGCGTATAAGAGTTGTCATGATCACTAAGCTGGCTTGTCATTACGTGTCTAGTAGTTTTCCTGCTTGAATTTATAAATAACACCATGTGAAAAATTAACTTAAATTGTGGTAATTGAGAACAATTTTTGGTTGGATCTCATTTCTTAAAAAACTGAACTTTAATCACTGAATGCATGTTGCAGGAAAAACATTCGCCAAAAAACTTTATATTTCAAAACTTAAACTTTAACAAGCAGACCAAAAAGGCAATGTAATTTTAAAAATACAAGACATGACATGGAATTTCATCTTAGCCTTTTTAGATTTTTTTTTCTCTTTTGTAAATTAAAAATAGCAAAAAAAAAAATTAAATAAATAATAAATAAAAAACTTTGCCAGTTTTTCTCTTTTGGAAACATAAGATAGCCAAAAAAACAATATTTTTAAAGCACATAAATAATAAAGGTCTGTGAGTACAAATCCTAAAGCACATACCTCTCCAAACATTTGCACCCTGAGACTCTGTAAACCTGCAGCTGTGGAGAGACTAGAGTGGGGCTTGGTGTGAACTTCCCAGTGCTGAGAATACTGGCCTGCCTCACGGGGTGAAAACTGAATGGGAATCTGGAAATGTTTGATGAGAATTCTTTAAATGAGTATGACACCAATAGCAAAACATCAAGGAAAGAGTACTACATAATTTCATTCCTTGCAGAAAAAAATACAATTAAATGACTGAATTTTTTTTACCATCCCTACAAAAGCTATAAGAAACAGCCTTTTTTCAACAAACTTGTTTATTATCATAAACATTTCATACTTCTTCAAGATCTTAATAATTACTCACCACTGCCTGTTGTTGTGCCTCCAATACACCCGACTTCTTCATTAACTTGAACACTGCATATTTCACACGGAGGATTTCAACGCTTCCAGACACACCCTGATAAATATCGGAATGATACCATAATTACAGTGACATATCTAGGTCCAACTCCACAAATAAATAAATATACAACATAATACTTCTGGTTAATTCTATTTCGCTTTCTTTCCAAAATTGCACATTTAACAGAGGAAATTGAAACCGAAAAGGTCAATTTACAATTTTAAAACACGAATTAGAAATCATGAGTCTGACAAGTCAGTCTTTGTATAATTTCTTAATTTTCATTTTTTCTTTCTTTTGAATTATTTTTCTTTCAAATTTTTTTTTCTTTTTGTTATTTATTAATTTATTTATTTATTTATTTATTTGTTTATTTATTTATTTATGTTTTATTAGAGGGAGAGGGGATTGGGAGGGGAGTTAATTTTTTACCTTTATATAAGGAGGCGCCAATGACGACAACACCCAAGTCACAGACTCGTCTTTGGTATTCCTCAATGTCAGCTCCGTCTCCGCAGTTCTCCCAACACAAGTGTCCGGAAAATTGACCACCTGACTAGCTGTCACTCGTGGTGGCGATGACGTTGATGAGGATGCCACAGGCAAGCTACCTATTGGTGTCACTGTTTTTATAGCTGGACCAATCAGCTGCAGCCCAGTATTTGCTGCTGAGGACTGTTGTGGTGTGAAGATCATCCTTACTGACTGGGGCAGGATGTCAGGTGGTTTCAGAAATGGATGTTGTTCAGTAGTATGTTCTGTGGGACCAGGTAACTCCAGGCTTTCTCGGATCTGTATTCTGAGAGTCTGGCAACAAATGCATAACATTAAACATTCATTTTACAAAGGAGGCCAGATATTGTTTTATACTTCAATGTTTCGAATCTAAGCTTCACGAAAAATAAAAACACACAATTCAGATTCAAGTTCAAGCAAATTGGTCATTCACCTATACAAGATACCAATTGGAATGTTTTCTTTCTCATCATATACAGATTGAACATTGCTGATTCTATTGTTGGTAATTCCTAAAGAGACTAAAATTGACTTTTTATTACCATTTTTACATAAGAGACAAAAAAAGCCTATTTCACCACATTCTGTTCTTATTCAACAATACATTACATATGCTCTGCAATCATTACAATATGCATGTGTATACTATAAGTGTTTATGCCTATTTATGTAAAAATACATGTGTATGTGTGTGGAACATATGGCATACCTGTGTCTTGCCATCATCACAAGAGATGTGGACGGCACCAGACCATGGGAGGGGAATACCTCTGGAATACAGAGTGGGGCTGGCACTCACGCACACCAACACTGAAGTCCTGGATGATAAAAAGAAACTTGCAAATTGTGGTGTTTGTCAACAGAAATAATCAAAAATGATCTAAAAGAGTTTATGATCACTGGCATCACCCTGAAGATGCTTTTCTGGCATCAAAATTTATCAATTCATTTGGTTCTTTTATATGCCACTGTCCACAGAGAAGTGCAGCAGTTTTAATGTTAATGGTTGGTTTTACAATTATCATACCAAATATCTTAGTTTGAAGCAAAACAAACTAAAGAAAACTTTTAACCAAGAATATGTCCGAAATGCTTTTTTAAAAATCTTCAAAATGACCAGTTAAATCAATGGGACTAAGGTGACCATTCCCACAATGCAACTGGCCTCATCCTAACAAACCTGTGCTGCCCCCTACCTTGGTTCTACAGTCCCCTGCTGTGGGGTCACCTTCACACAGTGGTCTGGCCAGGCTAGTTCATACCTGGAATAGGGAAGTTTTACGGTACAGTACAATATGTTCCATGTAAATTTGGAATGTTTGATGGATGCATTTTATAAGAATTAAATATCATCAATGTAGTTCTACAACATACCATATACACTTACAAGTAAAACAGCTTTTATTATAACTTCCATCATCCATAGTAGGAGGAAAAATTTCATGACAAACATATCTGTGCTTTTTTTTTTAATAAAAGAAAGGGTATAATCAGTGCAGTCAGATAAGGAATAATAACAGTCAGATGAATAGTCAAAGGGAGTACATCTAAATCTCTGCTTGGCAGGCAAAAGGCAAATCTTTCTGTTAATGGAGTCTCAAAAGAAATACAAATTTCAATTTCATACTTCATATAGCTCTCATACACCATATGTAGACAGTCTAAAGAGACAACATATGGAAGTCTTTCAAATAACAGATTGATATTAAATTTATCCACAGTCCATACCTCAGAGGTCTGTCATAGTAGTTAATGAGTTGGACCCTCTTCATGTGGCTCCCTCTAGTGTCTCTGCTGGTTTCCAAGATAAGCTGAGGAGGATTGATGGACCAGTTTTCCCCTGTGTTTACATCTGTAGTTAGTTTTTGGCGACTGACTAATGGGGTGCCCTTCACTGGGAAGGATATACTGAAAAAAAATCAGGACATAAATTGTGGAAATTTGTGTTAAAAAAAACTGTCACAATAAAAAAGATGACATACTTAGCATCAATTCCATACTCATTTTTCAAAAAAAAATTCAAAGACTGATGTATGATTGCAACCAAGAGGTGAAAGTGCCATATTTCACTTATCACACTGTCCACTGCAGGTAGCATATTACATCTCAATAAGAACATTTGTCAAGACATGGGCAGTTTTTTTTCTCTTTCTATTCTGATTTATTTTCTAAGTTTCAGGATTCTGAAATTAATCCATCAATTTTCTTAATCATTTCCCCTTCACATCTAAAAAGGAGGAAATCCACAAAAATGTGGAAGAATCCCATTCTTGTGAACAATAGGTAAAAATATAAGCTCACTCCAGGTTTGCAACTGTAGAATCAGCGACAGATTCATCAGCCATGAGAGGCATCAAGCTGTCCCTAATGGAGTCTGGTCTGGCCACCATTTTGGGCGTTGGCTCGCCCACCAGAGTTAACATAATTCTGGACATGGTGGAGTAGAAGAGATCGGCAGCATTCGGAACCGTGGCTGTTCCCAGATCTGATAATCAGAAATGTAACATATGCATTGAAATGCTCATTATGTGGCAGCATGTTCTATTGAGGCAAAGCTGTCCGTAGTCAAAGAATACCAGCTGCATTTTAATTTTTTCACTGCACATGATTAAATGAAAATTGTGAAAATCTCAAATGTTTGCACCAACTAGGCACAAAAGTGAATTATTGGACAAAAACAACATTAACACTTAAAGTAAATGCACATTTAATTTTTCTCAGTTTGTTATAGATGCCATGAAATTAAGGGTAAAATCCAACCTTCATTGATGTCATCTTGCCCATCATATTGCACATCAAAGTTGACTTGACACAGAGGATTCTCTGCAGCCAGCTGCTTGCTGCGACCTTTACTCACTCTACGGTAATGAGGAAATATTGTTCAATATTGCATCATCATCATCATCATCATCACAACAACAACAATAATAATAATAATAAATAGCAATTTGAGAATGGTTAACAATGTAACTCCTAATTATTGGCAGCTTGAGTAACATACCCTGTAGAGAGGTGAAAATAGGCTTGGATGAACTGAGGAAAAATGGTAGAATTTTAAAGCACTTTGGTTCAAATAAATGAAGTGAGGTTTTACTTAAACTTCTAATCTTTCAAGCTCCTTAATGCCCAAACTTTAAGGAACTTCTAACCCTTTATTTGTATTTACCTGAAAAGCTTTCTGCTGACTTCATCTCCGTAGAAGAAACCAATGGCCCCCACAGAACTAGGGTTGTCAGAGCACAAAATTCTCTCTCTTTCCGTGGGGTGGAAAGCTATCACAACTGTCTGAAAAGGTCAAACCAAGGTCATACAAATATCAAAGCTGGGCTATTAGTGGGTGATGTTTTTGCCTTCATTGGTTTGTTATTGAAAAGACTAACTCAAAAAAATTATAGATTGATTTTGATAAAATTTGCAGGACAGGTCAGAAATGGGCCTCTTAAGAACCAGTTAGATATTGGAGGTGGTCCCTTAATATATAAACAGAATGAAAACTGAGCTGCCTTTGTAGAATTGCGTGTTCTCAGAATGCTTTTTGGATGCACTTTCTGTCTACTCAATGAGTCAGCAGTATGTGACACTAATTTGATAAGACTTGCTGTCTCACCTTTTCCTCTTCTGGGAAAATGATGCATTCATTAGGCTGCACTGATATCTTGTTGACAGGAAGCTGCTGTCTGCAGGTTATATCTGGAATTAACATGTGCAAGACTGTCTTCTAACTAAAGCAAGTAGAAAATCATTATTTCAAAGAATTGAAACTGATAGTCAAGACTGAATGACGAAAGCTCCTTCTCAAATATCCGTTTGAATATTTTGATATACATATATATTTCCAACTCAACACATAAGTTTCCAACAAGTTGGGAATCAATTTTATTTAAAGAAATAGGCCAGTTTTAATTTTACTAGAATTCCCAGCCAGATTTGATGTTTGCTATATGTACACCTTGAACTATTTCATACTTTTTATAATGATAAACCTCCATGTTAATAAGAAAATAGTTTGATAAACATTTTTCAGCAATAATGCAAAATATGACATTTTGTTAAATAAAAATTTTTCACATAAACTACCTGTGAAACAAAGTGCCTTCACATAAGCGGCCCTGACACCTGTGTTTTTTAACTGGACCTGTGTCACACAGTGAGAGCAGCCAGACATGTCTCCTAAGCTGGCCCAGGACCCTGCACTCCCCTGCCCCTGCTTTACCCCATGGAGTACCAGTTTGCTCACACCACCATAGCCATACAATGGGACCTGAAATTATGGAGTTGAAAAAATCATGTGCATTATTATTATCACACCACTATAGATATACATAAGTACTTAGAGCATTTTTAATGCACACCTCTCTTTGTCTCTCATAAAATTTTCACTGAATGACACAGTTGGCATTTTCTATAGAATATGGTCAACTCTCTCTTTCTTTCTTTCTCTCTCCTTTTTCACTCAGTGCTACAGATTCATATTTGAATTCCCCCCTCCCTCTCTCTCTCTCCTTCCTCACAGGGTACTTAATCCTTCCAGTCAGTGGCCTAATCTCCAGCTTGGTGTTGAAGGCAGCCACCCTGGTAGGGCAGAAGAGCACATTGACAGGGTACTCCTCCTTTGGTTTCAGAATTAGTTCTCTCTCATCACATCGCCTCTCACTGTCCCCGCTTCCCACCTGTAGCTGAAATTTGGCACATAATTTGTTGGAGTTACTACTAAATGTGCAGCAAAAACTGGTAAATGAGTTGTTTTTTTTTTCCACAATATTAATTTTTTTTTTTTTGAAAATGTAATTGGTACTCCACTTTATAAATATTTTTTTACCCTTACAAATACAGAAAATTGTGTTATAATCAGTGAGAAAATGTTGGAGTCACTAAAAAAAAGTAAGCTAAAACATAACAAGTAAAATGAGTTGTTTTTCCCTAAATTATAAATATGCAATTGTTTATTTTAAAAATATAATGGGCACTGTAGTCTATTATTATTAATATTTTTTAACCCTTATAAATTTTGAAAATTTTAACATTCAGTAAGAAAGCCACCTTCTCTGCTATGATTTCTACCACATGTTCACCAGACAGTATAAGTGCTATAAAACAACTAAGCCAAAATGCCGTCATCAGACAGGTGGGGTAATTAAAGGACCAAGTGTCAATTGATTTTTACCACAGTGTCAAATAAGTTCATTAGGAAATTGTGTTGATCTTATAAGACGGGAAACAGGTGTCACACCTAGAAGACAGATAATCAAAGTGGTTCTCAATTCAAAATCAAGCAGATGCTTTTCTCCCTTTTTTTCTCAATACCCAATCAACACATTTTCTGCATGCGTAATCAACATGTATTCAGCATCTTAGGAAAAATATCCTTGAAGTTTTTGATTTGGCAGAGTTTCCACCAGACATCAGTCAGTAAATTTTTACTAATTAAATCTGCCCGACACAATTATTGGCAACCACTTCCTTAATCCAAACAAGCCGATAATTTATTACATACTTTAAGCCTTGTGCCTCTTGAAGTGATTATAACTACAACTTTTAGCTTGTTATTTGAAGACTTATACTTTTGTAACTTTAAGTCAAGCTTTTTTTTTTATTTGCTTCGGAAAATTTTGCCTTAAGAGAATTGGCATTTTATTTCATTTTATCTTATTTATAATTATTCTGTTAAATCATTTCCAATGAAACATGACTATATAGCCTATGCACCAGGAACTTTAAGCTGAGAGGGAGAGGACATTGAATATGCAGAGGTAGGAAAAGAGTAGGATCTGTATATCAGTTCTTATGAACACTGGGGTATGATTTGGACTGTTTGTCCCCCACAGGATGAAGAGATTTAGTAAAGATCTCTACACTAAATACCATTTATCAACTAGAGTCTAATGTAAAAAGGACTTTATGCCTGATGTCCAGACATGAATATATAACTTCTTGTAACTACACAATATAAAGTGCACTATGCTAATACATACCTAAATTGTAAAATGGGTAAAGGGGGCAAATAATTCTAAAATAAAATTCCGCAAATCTGTCTAAAATTGTCATTACAAAAATAAATAAGTAAATTAAATAATTAATCCTCACCTGGAAATCAGGAGTGCACCCTTTAATTCTAAGTCTCAGCTTAATCATCTCATCACTGGCATTGCACAGGGTAGTTTTTTGATGACTGAAATAAAGTTCTTCTTTATAATTTCTTTCTTTTGGACAATAATTTTAGCCAGAGTCTTCACTCTTTTTAAGAAAAATATTTAGAAGTTCATTCAATAAAATGATAACTAGACACATTTTATTTAATATGGTTGGTTGACTGTCCAATAATATATTTGGGGAAGGATCAAAAAGTCCAAACTTACAGGGAACGGCCCACTGGGACACCTCCCCACGACAGAAAGTGCTTATTACATAGCAATGTCTGTGGAGGGTGGCCTGCTGAGGCAGAACTGGCCTTAGAACGCACTTTCTCTGCTGGAATACTATCCTGTACCATGTTCGACTGTCCAGTGTCAGACTGTCGAAAAACTGTCGTCTGCAGATTATTCATCTGTTCTCTTGATGGGTAGGTCATTTCTGCAGGAAGATGTCCATCCTGTCCCCGGCTAAACCCCGTGTCAGTTTGTTGAAAACCTTGCTGTGTGGGCTGAGCAGAGAAATGGTCTGAAGGAGGCGCACTGACTGTTTGCCTGGAGGTAACAGACTGTGTCAGACCCCTCAAAGGTGTCTCATAGGCTGGCCCATCTGGTTCCACTAACATGTGAAGAGCACTGAAAAAGTGAGAAATAAAAAACCCAAGATGCATAATTGTTAGAACTTGATTCTCATAGCAGTCCTTTGCTAAAATAGCCCATCCACTAGAAATAAAAAGTTAGCAAACCAGCTCTAAAAGGAGAAGTGAGAGGATACCAAAGGTTTCAAAATGGCTGCCCTGGGCTATAGCTTTTGCAAGTGCAGTTTCTCTGCGTGTGGGGGGAGGGGGAGGGATTTCAATATAATGGTGACTATGAAAATAGGTAATAAGATACATACTTAACCCTGCAAAAATCAATGACAAACAAACAAAAGATGGTATTTATCTTCTACAATGCAGTCTATGGCAACCTTCTACTCAGTAATTGACCACTCACCTTTCATATGTCCTCTGCTGTTGGTCAACAGCCTTATATTTGACCACGACGTCCTCCCCCATCCCAGGAGCCAGCTGTAGTCTGGTAGGGAAAACAGTAAACAGTTGTGGCCAGTCATGGATGGACAGAGTGACATCTAGTGTTATGTTGCCTGCATTGCGCAGTGGTAAGAGCTTGGTGTCGGACCAGCCAACAGCTGCTTGAAGGACCACACTCTGGATGTGTTAAGAAAATAATAAGCAAATTTTTTTATTCTATATTGTGTTTTACCACAATATTGAATAAATTAATTAATTTCAATTTAAAGAAGCAAGGTGCTGATATCCGAGTCCTCGATATATCAGCTTTTTGACTGCCCCATTTTAAACATTTCCTTGACTAACTTTCCTCTTTATCAAAATATGCCAACTGTACCCATGCAAACAATACTAAAATACGTACATCAAGACTTCTGGGGGCATGTAGCCTGGCCACGCCCACTGTGGCCCGTACAGACACACTCCGCACTGGAGCTACAGACTTGGGCATGTCCACTTCTATCACTACTGTGGCTGTCAGCACTTCAGGGATTTCTGGGACATGGTCTACAATGTAGGGTATGAGATGCGAAATATGAATGCTTCAAATTGTAGAGTAATTGATGTGTGCTTTTTTCACCCCATTTCCTAGAATACTCTTTTACAATGGCAGCAAACCAGTTTTATGCAATGTTCTAATACTATTGCAAAACATTTGCCTTTCACAATAATAATTATTTTACTCTATCAATAACACAAACACAATACAAAATATTAAACAATTGTTTAGAAACAATACTTATGTATGAAATATAATTTTAAAATGTTACGAAATACAGTTGTAAAATTCATATTAGACATCATCAACTCTAAAAACTTTATAAATATCTTCATTTAAATAAATTCATTTAATACTTACCTCTGTCAAAACTCTGTTTGGGTGCTCTAAAGAATAGAGGGACGTGTGTCTCAGTAGGGTGACCATGCTCCCCACTCCCCGGGATGGTCAAGTTAATGATGGACCTGGCCAGAGCCGGCGTGACTGGACGGTGGGTTTGGGATATCACAGATACATCAGGAGAGGCCTGCTCGCTGTCGAAAGTGAAGCAGTGCCAGGAAGACTTGTTCTGAAACATGAAAAAAGATGTCTTGTTACAACAAAAGGAATGTGGTTATAATAGCAATTATTATTATTATTGTTGTTGTTGTCATTACTATTATTAATACTATTATTATTATTAAAATTTTTATCATCATCATTATTATTATTATTATTATTATTATACTAAAACTACACTTCTGATGATAATCATAATAATACTAAAATAGCAACAACAGTGCATGTACACGTATGTGCTCCAACACACTTACAGTAGAAATGACCAGCCTTAGTGGGACTGCAGCTTTTCCATTATTAACAACAGTCAGTGGTAGGGACTTCTGGCTGCCGTAGGGCAACTGACCAAAGTCCAGGCCAAATTCACTGCCTGTTTTCACCTAGAGATGAAATATATCAAGCCTTGATAAACAACAGAAAAAGACAGACTTTAATGCAAGGAAAAAGTTGGTAAACACAAATGAGAGCTGTATTTTAAGTGCTCAACACATGCAGTAGCAAAAGACAAATATTCCACTTGTCTGCAGGTGCATTCAGACACCATTTGGGGTCATAAGAAAGAAGTAGGAAGCAATGGCAGCATGGCCTTACAAAAAGGAGGTCTGGGTACTGCCTAAGGTGGAAAACGTGTGGAATATGCCTATTACAATAATAAAACCACCAAGAGAAATTATTATAAGATTCTGATTTAAATTGGGAAAAACATCAGCAGGCAATTGTGACATCCACTCCTGCTTAGCAATTGCAGGGCTAGACACTAACTTTTGTGAGCACCTGTCCTTCGGACAGGTGCTCATATATTTGACCTGTCCGATTTTCAATCCAACCTGTCCACAAAACCAATACTTTTTTCTATTCATACCTTTGAACTTTGTCAATTAATACGTGTAGTCATACATTTAAATTAATGTATATATTACCAAAACATTCAATCATATGAGCCCCGAAAATGCACCTTAAAGTGAATTTATGTTCAGATAAAAAGTTGTTTTTTCATACTTGTGAACTCCTGAAGATTTAATCTTGCATATAAGTCTGATATTTAACATCAGGGCTTCTCCTAGGATTTGGGGTACAGGGTCTACTAATTGTAAGTCTGCAATTTGATAACAGATTCACATGAAGTTTAACCAAAGCT